TGTGCCGGTGCCTACGGCACTCTAGAATCTTTGCTTGGAGGCTACTCGTCCGGACATCCATTTCACGCGAGATCTCGCGATGATTTGAAACGTTCATGTGGTTCACTCGTCACTTGGAAATGGCTGCGTTTAGTGTTGGTGCGGAATTCTGTAGCTTTTCTGAATTAGAAGTCGCAATTGAGAAATACGAGCAAGAATCTTTTGTACAGTTGTACCGAAGAGACTCTAGATCGATCGAAGTAGCTAGTAGAAGAAACACAAAGAAGGCTTACAACCCAGAAATAAAGTATTCCGAAGTCAAGTATAGCTGTATCCATGGAGGTAGACGTTTCAAGTCGTACTCTAAAGGAACCCGACCTAACACAAGGTAAGTCACGAGTGCTCAAGTTTAAAAAATTTATACGAATAGAACTAGTAATAGTAGTATTGAGATAATTTCGGAACTAAAACGGCGGACATGTCCATCCTCAGGGCGAACGTGTACTGTACGCCGGAGCTACTCTAATAAGTACTCCTACTTCGTTAAAGTACTACTACTACTAGTCTACGGGCACTGCTCCTACTACTAGAACTACTAAGTACTAGCACTAGTACTATTAGTAGTAGTAGTAGTACTAGTACTACTACTCTGAGAGGGTCTATGTCCCCCAGGGTACTGCCGGAACGTACTACGCGTATACCCTGCATGGGTACGATCCGGTATAGCGGAACGTACCCTGGTACTAAATACTACTATCTAATATGCCGGACCATACCTCGCCTACGCCATTAACGAGTCTAGGGAGTCGCCTACGCCTACTCCCTAACCCTAAATCAGCTAGATAGTTACCAGGGTACGTTCCGGCAGTAACCTGGGGGACATAGGCCTTATGAGCAGTAGTACTAGTACTGCTCATAGGGTCCCTGGGTACTGCCGGAACGTACTCTGGGTACGGTCCGGTATACCAGAACGTACCCTGGTAACTATTTGATATGCTTGGGGTTAGGGAGTAGGCGTAGGCGACTCCCTACACTCGTTAGTGGAGTAGGCGAGGTACGGTCCTGCATATTAGAAGTTACCAGGGTACGTTCCGGTATACCGGACCATACCCACGGTACGTTCCGGCAGTACCCAGGGAGACATAGGGTGTCACTTTTCCCTGGGCGTAGATGGAGGGTGCCGCTATGTGGCAGCACTAGTCACTTCGTACACTTATTTCCCTACATTATTATACCCTAATTTCCCTAACCCTAATCTTAACACTAGTGCTACCACGTAGCGGCACCCTCCATCTACGCCCAGGGGAAAGTGATTCCCGGAGACATAGCCCTGACGAGCACTAGTACTACTACTACAAGCTGTAGAATATACAGGGCTCTTCTTGCATTTTTTTTGCATAGGTAATATGCAAAAAAAATTATAGGACTTTATTTTATGTGAATAGGAGGCACCCATCAATAATATAGACCTATATATATATATATATATACAGGGGTCGAAATAAAATTTTTATTATGGTATCCATTCGGGATACCAGGTATTGAAATCTGTTATCCTCCCCAAATGCAAGACTGTGGTATATCCACAAAGGGGTCATGTATCAGAGATTGTGTCAGATGTTCATGTCTGTCTTTATCCATGTGTTGTATGTGTGTCTTATGTTGTTTTTAAATTTGCCAAAAAATTTTGTTATTTCCAGATCTGCTTATTTCTCGCTAAATGCACACTAGTACTCTTTATAGAATGTAATAGTAAGGATAATGGGTGAAAAAATATATATTAAAACAACGAATATTAAACAACTAGGTGACAGAATTAAAAGAAAAGATGTCTTTGACTGGATTAAAGAAAAAAATATAAGTATAGCCTGTCTACAAGATACGCATATTGATGCAAACCATGTTGAAAGAGTTAGAGCAGAATGTGGTTTGCAAGCTATTTTCTGTCCATATACTACACACTCAAGAGGAGTAGCTGTACTTGACAAAACCAAAATTGTATGGATTGGTGCTACCCGGGAATCGGACAGACGGTTTTGTCGAGAAAACAATTTACACTGGGTAACTGGAACGTTCACAACATTGGGAATTACTTTTAGTACAAATCTTGGTGATATGACAAACTTAAACCTATCTTCAAAATTGCAGGGCATTAAAAACTCATTAAATATGTGGGCAGTGAGAAATCTGACCCCAATGGGAAAAATAACAGTGTTAAAATCCATCATTTTACCAAGAATAACTCACCTTTTAACATCACTCCCAAACCCTGATGACAAACTTATTAAGGAATTAGAATGTCTTTTCTTCAGATTCATTTGGAGCAATAAAAGAGATAAAGTTAAACGAAGCATTGTCACTAAGGCGTACGATAAGGGAGGACTTAGAATGGTAAACATACAGGATTACATAACAAGCCTAAAGTTAACTTGGATTAAAAGATATTTATATACAACAAATAAATGGTGTCTTTTCTTTAAACAATATATTGATGAATCCTTTTTTCAAACCGGTCCAAAGCCTTCAATAGTAATAGATAACCCTTTTTGGCAGGATGTACTTAAAGCTTGGACTGTCTTTAATGGACTAACGCTCCATTAGGAGTGTTCCCATCTTTGATATCATTAATGATTAATGGTTAATGATTAATGATTGATAATCCTAAACCTAACCCTAACCCGTCGTTATTATCACCACTAATGACATTAAAGTTGGAACACTCCTAATGGAGTATCACCCCATAGATTTGAATCTGTAACCAGTACCCATTCCATTCCATAAAGCTTTGCCAACCACCAAGTAACCTGTTAGCTCTAACAGCCTGTGTGTCTTTCCCCTATTGCTATAAACATAGACCCTAGACATCTTGCTGCCCATCTATTGTTCAGGTAACCTGGTCCCTAAGTATCATAGCTTCTCACACTACACCTGTAAGACACATCAGGGTTTTTGTTAAAAGCTGGTAACTGGTTATTTTTACCGGCTGTAACCCGTAAAATCTTTAAATATGCAATAATAGCATTTGAAAATTATTAATATGTAATGTAATTATTATATAAAAACATGAAAACAGATTTACAGATATGCACAGACAAGTACACTGCAGATGTATTGTCTAGACGCATTGTCTGGTTTGCTTGATACAATAGGCGCGTTCACACTGGCGCGAATTAGCGGGCTGCAAAACCCGGTTTTTGTAGCTCGCTCAAAAAACTGAGCTTTTTACAAGTGTGAACGCAATTAGCTCACTAAATCGCGCTCCAAATAGCGCGCTCCTAAGACCACTTCCGACTGGGCTAATTTGGAATCAGCTCACTTATTTGCACCGCGGCGTGATATTTGCACCGCGGCGATTAGCGAGATATTCGCCTGTGTGAACAACGACACTAATTAGCTCACTATTATCTCCGCTATTAGCGGGCTGAGCAGCGCGGTTTTTTCTTGTGTGTGAACGCGCCTAATGTATACACATCACATTTATGATCAGATCGCACGCACTCGCTCTACGCGCACTCGCTCAGATGTGCTGCCTTATAAAGTTGATAACTCAACAACCACTATCCCGATTTTGACGATTTTTTTTTACTATCCCGGCGGGATACCAAGCATTGAAATCTGGTATCCAACACAAGAATCTACTATCCCGCGGATATCGGGATACCGCTAATTTCGACCCCTGATATATATGTGCGTGTATGTTATATATGGTCATGACAGGGTTGATAGTCAATAACATTACCGGTTACAGCCGGTAAAAATAACCAGTTACCAGCTTTTAACAAAAACCCTGATGTGTCTTACAGGTGTAGTGTGAGAAGCTATGATACTTAGGGACCAGGGGCCGGATTCATCAACGTTGCGTAAAGTGTATTGCGTACACAGAGTTTCTACGAAGTACGTACGCAAAGCTCGTAGGTGCGATTCATCAACGCAGCGTAGCACCTGCGTACGCAAATGTTGATGAATTCCAGTGTAAATCCACTACGCCATCGTGGGTGCTGGCTGTTGAAGGGCGTGCCTAGCATAAACCAATCACACTGTGCGGCACATACCGATAGGAACCAAACTGATGCCTCTCGTCTATTTAAACCATATGGCTCGTCTAGCTCTGTCTACATGAGTGCTAGGGGATGTGATAGTGTCCACATTTTCGTTTGTAAAAATGCAAGAAGAGCCCTGTATATGAAGGATCCCCAGAGCCAAAGGGTGAAGGCGTGCTCATTTTAGATGAAGTGAGGGTGATTGGAAAGATTATGTGGAATAGCAAAAATATGCAAATGTACGGTGGCGCAATGACAGCTGATAACTTTACTTCATTGCATGACATATATGGAAAGATGGAAGACAGGAAACGAGTGGCACCTGCTCAGTCTGTGCTACAATTTCTCTGGCGAGATCTGACATCTTCCTTTGATGTAATTGGACCCTACTTTCCTACCGAAACTTCACTAGAACACAGATTTCTCATATCGTGCCCAACGGAAACCATGCGGCTTTTTGAAACATGGGATTTTCACACAGTGTGCATAGTGTGTGATGGTTCTGGTGCCAACCTTACAACAGTGAAATTGTTTACAACCGGTCTACGGGGACCCTACCAACGCGCGGAAGTAGAGCCGTGGTTTACAAATCCCTACAACACTGCCTACAGAGTTCATTTCGTGATTTGTCCGTCACACCAGGTAAATGTAATAACGTTGTTATGACATTTGGTTGCATTCATTTATAACTAAACCAAAAAAGTAATTGTTTGCGAAATAAAGAAAGCTGTATTACATGTAACACATCTCAACAAGTGTGCACAAAATACCATCAACTGTTATCAATGCTTAAACATAATCGGTTTTGTTGCAGCTGAAAAACATGGTTAATGCATTGTTTGCCTCTCGCCAAAATGGCACCAAGTCATTTGAGACTATAAGAGGTGGTCGCAGTATTGGCTTTGGCTGGGAGGCAATTTATACGATGTATCAACGTGAGGTCAAGCGCCGTGACACTGAGCATGCCCGCCGCGTACCTGGGTTGCAGCACAGCTACATCACCAGAGATGCCTGGACTAAATTGAATGTGAGGCCTGCTAAAATTATGCAGGTACTGTCTAGTAGCAGCTGTTATAACTAGTAAAATATTCCGTTTAAAGAACAGAAGACTGTGAGTAATACTGAGCATGACAACTACAAACTTCCAGGCAAATGCTTACAAGTTATCAAAAGGTTGTTGAATGTTATTGAATGAAAACCAATGAAGATTGGAATATTTACCATTGCAGTGCACATATTATTCTCCGTACACACGTACACAAACTAATTTTCCCTATTATTTCTGTTCGTTCTCTACTACATCACAATGTAAGTACGGTTGCCACACACGGACTTACCATCCTGATATTTGCAAGTGACCACAATTTTCAATTATTTTCAGCAAGAACATGTACTGGCAGAATTGCAGAGCTACGCCGAGCCTGATGAGTCTGCGGACACACCAGTCGACAGCAAGCATGTGATGGCCACTCACAGTTACTTGACAGCCTGCAACCTCATATTTGAGCGAGGATTTCTGTCACACGATAAAGTGACCAATGCCGATCAGCATGTCCTGGAGAACATCATTGCAGGATATGACTACTTCGAAACATGGCTACAAGAATTGGAAGGTTTGTTCGATTTGTGATAACTTATTGATTTGAATTCACCTGTATAAACTTTTAAAGTAGCGTGTTGCTTGAAACATGTTTGTATGCAACATGTTTACGTGCAAGTTATCTATTTCCACTCACTGCTAGTTGCATGCAAACGTTTTTGCCTTCTGCAAACCAATTAACATAAACACCATAGTATTGAAATATACAGGTATGGCTAGTAATGAGAATGAAACAGTAAGAATGTATGTGGCGTGGTAGAGAGGAGACATTTATTGAAAGTTTAAATGTACAACAATAGAGAGTCAAAGGTGAGGACAAAGGAATGCCAGAGCTAGGCCAAGGAGCGTGCATCGCACACGCTTGCCCTGTTCCAACCCCAGAATCCTTTCTCCCGTGTTCTTCACGAAAACTCTATTCACAAAAGGCCACACAACCCGTTCGCTTTTAAATGCACAATACCAGATGGGCCTGATAGAGCACACCACCTAGATGTACATAGCCACACCCATGCACACGCAGACGCACACAGACAGTACATGTATGTCACATGTACACTCAGATAGTGAAAATGATTTACATAGCAGCGCTGAATGCCTGGGGTTTTGGTTTTAGTTTAACGCTACGGGCAGCAACTTGCTAATCACTGCGAAGTTCAGCGCCGTTGCATTTCATGTACTCATTTCATTGTATTTTTATGTATTCTACCTCATTTTGTTGTACTCCTCATCTACCTCTTCCCCTCTATCTCATCCCTCCTAATAAACATGATCTAGCTAATGTTGACAGTCCTCTTTGTAACAATCTCAGACCTATTTTTTACATATGGCTGCACAGAGTACCCCAGAAAATCAATGAATTGATGAGAACTAACTAATATTGCAATAAAAAGAAAAGGAAGTGCACTAGTCGTTAGCTCCAACATAACAAATCGACAGCACTACAAAAATTGCTCGAACCTCTCTCGTAAAGTCTCCAGAAAGCTCCTTGGACGTCACCTTAGGAGAACTTCCTCCGATAGTACCATATAATTCTCCTAACCTAGAAGAGGAAGAGATGTCCAAGAAAGGCGGTGGAAAACCTCCAACTGTTCCACCAAGAACTCCAACCCCGTCAGAACCCGATGCGGATTTGACCCTAGTGGAGGCGGGCAGCGCTGACATGTTCAATGGAGACTACCCCTGGTGGAACAAGAGTCTACACTGGTGGGGCAGGCTCTGCAGCTGGGGGAGGAGGGAGAGAAGGGGGTGGAAAGAGAGGTGCTAACGACGGGGATGACTCTGATTCACCAATGTCACCAATGAAGAAGAAAGTTGAAGATGACAAGACAATTCTTGCTCAGACAAAGAAGATGGTGGCAGAAGGCACACTGATGAGTGCTACGAAGATAGCATCAAGAATGAAGGAAATAGTGAACCTAAAGACCTTCATTGACGATATTAGAAACCAAGGATTTTCAATCCAGATCATTAGGGATGAAGTCCTGCTCAAAGCTAGAGAAGCAGAAAAGCGAGATTTCCCCAGTGCTTCTCCAGACGACATTCACGAGAGAAGTGTGAGTTTTCTGTTCCCGAGATCGACTATATCGGACACACGTTGACCGCTGAGGGTGTAAAACCTCAACGCTCGAAAATCACTGCGATAACCGAAATGCCCGCTCCAACTGACAGACAGGGAGTGCAACGTCTACTCGGTACCGTGAATTATCTGGCAAAATTCCTGCCGACCCTCTCGACTATGGGATTTCATTTTTCTTCAAAAGGCCTGGAAAAGTCCTTGAAATAGAATAATTTTGTACAAATTCATGGAAAAGTCATGGAAATATGTAACCATGTTGTTTTAAAAAAAAAAGAGCATGATTTCTCAAACTGTCTTGTTACTTTCTTTCGTTTGGCACTTCAGCGATCAGACATCGGCGCAGGACTTGTCGGCCACGTGCTCCGACCAACGCATACATTAATGATAACATGCTGGTTTCGACATCAGCGCCGCCCCGTGATAACAAAGGAAACTCACGCACGGGGATTCCCAATCGAGGTTTCTTGTGCATGCATTGACATGTACACGTCTTGTCTATTATTAAACCTGGGTACGGTTGAAATGTTTTGGCGCTTTCAGTATGTAAATGACCGTGATTTTGACTGTTCAATTTCCTCTCGATTGTTATTGTAAGATTGTAAGAGTTTATCACATAAAAGAATGCCAGGAGGCAGCGTTTGCTCCACTGATAGTGAGCTGATAAGTAACGAAGAGAGTATAAGCACTGTTTTATACGGGGACCGGGATGATGCAACAACAGAATCGACGTTGATGTCACCTCTTGCCGAGGAGGCTAGATGTGGTGTTTGCGGGGTTCCGCCCAGGTTGGATGTAATTCGTGCCATTGAAACATTATTTGTGAGAACTGGGAGGTCGTTTTTCGTTTTCTCCAATGAATCTGACATGTGGGTCAAGTGCAACAGGTAAGAAATAAATGTGTCAGTTCGACATTTGGAACCATGTCATGATGTGTATGATCGATCTATATTCGGCCATATTCGAAAGTCATTTTTGTATACATCTTGACAGTGTCAGTGCACATCATGCCGTGCACGTGTATCACTGACCGACTTTAGAAAGTGGTCTAACTGTCAATGACGACGAAATTTGACCACATGTTGACCACTTCTGTCTTTTCTTTTAGGTGTGCTGACAACTTTCATCTATATTGCCTCATTCAAAATGGGGTTCTAACCCTGGACAGTGCTGCTCTCGGCTTCCTTGATAATTCTGGATTCTCCTGTGGCTGTCAGTAGGACCGAATTTGTCTTGTGTGTGACGATCTAACTTTAATTTGACATTATATCGTAAAATTGTTAGAGGAGACGGATCCCTTATCACATGATAAAGAATGCCAGGCAACTGTTCGTTTAACGATGAATGGCTACAGAAGCCGGAATACAAGGAATGGGTGCGGTGTGTGGATGACAATAAGCATAAGGCAAAGTGCGTTCTGTGCACCAAGCCGTTTGATGTGAGTAACATGGGAGAGGCGGCCTTGAAGTCCCATATGGAGGGGAAAAAACACATTGCACGTGTAAATAATAGAAAAAAATCCACCCTGATTTCTTCATGGGCTGCTCCCAATTCTCTGGTGAGTACGCCTACGGCTACTAGCGGCACTTCCAGTTCCACTACTACGCCAGAGCCAACGGGTCTGATTCCTGACATGAATACTACTAGGCCTAATAATACTATGGATACATTCGTAACACGATCGGACACACTGAGTTCTGAAATTGTTTGGTGCCTACATGTGGTGTCCTCGCATTCATCATACAAATCTTCTGAAGGAAGTGCAAAACTTTTCCAGAAGATGTTTCCCGATAGTGTGATTGCTAAGGAGTTTGGATGTGGAGAGAGTAAGTGCGCTCGACTAGCAAGATGGGGTATTGCTCCTCATTTCAGGAACCTTTTGACATCTGATGTTAACCGAGCTGAGGCCTTCGTTTTGCTCTTCGATGAGAGCCTCAACTTTCAGAATCAAACAAAACAATTCGACATGCACGTGCGTTTCTGGCAGCTTGACCAAGTATCCACTAGGTATTTCGGTTCAGAATTTCTAGGTCTTTTGGAGGGGCAGGTAATTACGGGCATCTTCTTCCAAACTGAAGAAATGAAGAAGACCTTTTAAGACTTTCCTGAAGTCCTGTTGATCGATGCCACATACAAGTTGAACGATATTAGAATGCCACTGTTTGTTCTGATGGCCATTTATGGAAATGGTAAATTATTTTTACGCATTGTTAAGCATGTTCTTATTTATTTACTAAAGTAAAGTCAAGAATCACTGCTCACAAGCCTATTTTCTTAGGATATATTAAGAATACAGTCAAGCGGATACAGGCAGTAAATGTGAACGGCTCAATGGATCTAAAAAAAATTAATTGTAATGTACGCTTAGTAATTATTTGTTAAATATTCTAGGTGTATCACATGACAACGAAAATTCTAAATTTTTTATGTAAACTTGGTACTTCCGATATTTCTTGGAAACTACAAAAGGTTGAAATACAACTTTTGCCACAAGTTCTCCGTAATAATGTGAAAAAAATGGTGCTCAAATTTTAAAAAAAAATTGCAATTAAGTAAAACTTATTTTACTTATTTTATTAGGTGTAAGTGAGATAGTGGCCCTATGGCTAGTACAGCATGAAGATCGACTCACTTTGGAGAACATGATGAGAATATTTAAGGAAAAAAATAGCAGCAGGGAAGGAGTGCAAGTGGTGATGGCCGACAAAGACATGGCAGAGAGGGACGTCATGATCCAGGAGATGCCCGGCATCTCACTCTTGATCTGCCTCTTACACACACTCCGCACGTTCCGACGGGAAATCAGCACAGATAAAATGGGAATAACTCCAGCACAACGAGATGTAAGTTTATACAAACTGAAAGCAAAATGTCCACCATTCCAGATTGCTGCTTGATTTCTGCCAAGTCATTTATTTCTGCAAAGCTATGATCAATCATTTAATTGGAAGACAGCCAGAGCAAGTGTCAATGAAATTGATTAATTGGCCTACCACTAATTTGATCGGTTTGATGAGCTTTAGGTCATCTGGCGAAGTCAGATGCAGCTTGTAGACTAGTTGTAATATGGATGAATTTGCTCTAAAATGAATATCGTTCGGTTAATTAGCATTTAGGTATAAATATAATTGCACTTTTGTGATTAGCCCTCGGTCTGTAACGTGCAAAATAAATTGTCAAATACGCAACTTTTTCTGGTGGCAGCACGGTCGCGGGTGTCATGGCACCGTTCAAATTTCGTAGCGTTGATGTGTAATGAATTATAACAATTAAATTCGGTAATATATGATATTATATAATATAGGATATATATTATATGTGTATATATATAGTGTGTATATATGTGTGTATATATATACGTGTATATATACGTGTATATATATAAGATAATATATATAGTGTGTATGATATAATATAGGATATAATATAGGATCCTATATTATCTTACTCCTGCCGCCAACAGGTGGCATTCTTGTCAACAGACAAGACCAATCCTCACAGGCTAGCCACTGTTTGAACGTGGAGGCAACCTGAACCACCACCATAGTCAAACGCTATGAACCATGTGTGACGTTCAAGCTGATCATATTGGATAGACCACAGCAGTTCTTTTAATGCCTGTAATCATTTCTACTGGTCGTTTTATAAATTCGGTATATTTTTGCAGGTGATACACTATTTCAACAAGGAGTGGCACTCAATCCGTCACCAGTGGGTAAAAGGTCTGAAGACTGAAGCTTTCAATCTACTGACCAACACTAATAACCGGGTGGAGAGTGTCAACCAGAAATTGAAAGCTGTAATCACTAAAAACAGTGGAATCAGCCAGTTATTCACAGATTTGATGTCTGCACTTCAGTCCATGTCTGTGGAAAAAGACCACCGAGCACTGAAAGTGTTACAAAAAGTTAGTTTAATGAAGATCCATAATATAGATAAATGGATAGTTCCTTAGCTAGGGTTCGCGAGTTATGTTCTTGTGAGAGTAATTGTGGGGAATCGTGGTTAATTTCATTATGATTTTCCATAAATTTAACGTAATGTGATATGCGATGAACCAAAAATAAGCTTAAGCACATTGCCAGCTCAAAGATGACCGTAACGGCTCATAGATTGCAAGTTAATTTTGGAGTATGGCTTTTTGTTGCCTGACAGAATTCAACCATATCTGAAAATAAGCATCGAGGCCTGCCTCGTAACAATAAACTAACATCAGTAACAAACAACAATATTAAACTAGTATCACTATTGTACGAGGTTGCATAAATCCGCAATTAGAATAAAAAACATGTATCTACTTTTCCCTTACGTTCCAAGTCATTGTGGTTTGAGTAACTCTCCAGAAGAAGTCTACATGGATCTCCTGACACCATATGCTTTTAAATTTGTCAAAAAGCAGCTAGAGAAAGCACATAGTTTGACTGTGGAGGAACGAGATGCTGGTGGAGCTTTCTGCATCAGATCACCAGCTGGCCTACTCAATCCTACGGTAGATTCATGCAGTTGTGGCTTCAGCAGGGCGATAACACTTCCGTACAAACACGTGTTTGCTGTGAGAATGCATTTAGGGATGCCTGCAGCTGACCCCTGCATATGTCACAGACGCTGGACTAAGGCATTTTATGTGTCCAGTCACCGAGCGTTTCTCAAACAAGGACAACAAACTGAAACACAGATTGTCACCGTTCAAGTGCATCCGAAACCACACAAAGTTCCATCACAGCATAAAAATACAGGAAAGCTCTTAAAATCACAAACAACTTGGCTTCACTGTTGTCTGAAGTGCCCACTAGAGAATTTCAGCAGGTATTAGCATCTGTCCTTTCAATGAATGAAATTCTGTCAAAGGGTGGCAGATTTATAGTGACAGAAGTGGACAAACAGGAACAGTGCAATGTCATAAACTTTTTGCCGGAGCTGGGTGTTACATGCAACACCGCGCTACAGGAGGGCCTGTACCATGACATCCCCGGCACCAGCAGTTCGACGGCAGCCCAGGGCATCGGCAACGTGGAACTGTAGCAACCAAGCTAAATCAGCTCTCCTAACTATATAGAACACATTTCCATGAAAAAAGTTCAAAGTAATTAACATTGCAGGGTCAACATATAGGAGATATAGGGCCGGCAAACCGACTGTTCAGAAGGTATTGTGTTATTTGTCATTCGATCCGTGAATGTTATATGTCATAAAATCAACCATAAAACAAAAAATCGGGTTATGAAACAAAATACATGCCATAATAGACTCCTGATATAATGATATATATAAAAATTCAATTTATACTGCAGAGTGAGTACAATTCCACAGTTTGGTATGTGTTGATCACATAAAAAACAATCGTCTAGACAGTAGAATTATTAAGGTCACATGTACACAATGTTCATATTTTATGGTACCACTGCATTACCAGTGTTTACGCTTATAGTAAGGCATGACAAAATTCATTATCATGGCAGTATCAGGATACTGGCAACATCTACATCTCATCAACATCAACATCGATCTCTGATGTATTGTTTTTCATGCCTGATCAAGACATTAATTTTGTGGTGCTTTATTTGATTTTTCAAAAACTAATAAAATTGGTTAACTGCGTAAAATATAGAACAGTTATTATAAAAGTCCATGGTGTGTGTTTTTACAGAATGCATACAAGCACCTACCCAGGCAGAGGAAAATGAACCCGACTGAAAAGGAAAATGTTGTTACAATGCTCGACATTCATGCAAACAAAAAACTATTGCAAGATCGGCTGATCAAAGAGACAGGAAAGGTCATCCTCCTCAAAGACCTTCATAACCTGGCGGCAACCAACAAGCCATCTAATGACGCGCAGACATTACTGGAGCTGATGCAGAAAGTGCCTGGTTAGTATTTTATGTTTTATTTATTTTGAAACACTACAAAAAATAGATATTCACACATTAAGGGATACATTAGGTAGAAATTGGGGTGTTTGTTTCGATTTGCATTCCTATCAGCGCTAATTCTTTTGTAGCAAATATGTACATACTATATTCCAGATTGGAGCCATTGTCGGATTCCTTTATAACTGTAACAGTCTGCAAAATTAGCCACTGGCCCATGCAGGCCAGAGGCCAGTGAAATTTCCATCGGGCCTGTTCATGTTGTGAAACTATAAGCCCAACGTGCCAGTGAAAAAAGAGAGAAAATTCAAACATTCATTTGACTATGATGATGGGCCTGATAGAGCACACCACCCAGCTGTACATAGCCACACCCATGCACACGCAGACGCACACAGACAGTACATGTATGTCACATGTACACTCAGATAGTGAAAATGATTTACATAGCAGCGCTGAATGCCTGGGGTTTTGGTTTTAGTTCTACGCTACGGGCAACAACTTGCTAATCACTGCAAAGTTCAGCGCCATTGCATTTCACCATGTACTCATTTCATTGTATTTTTATGTATTCGACCTCATGTTGTTGTACTCCTCATCTACCTCCTCCCCTCTATCTCATCCCTCCTAATAAACATGATCTAGCTAATGTTGACAGTCCTCTTTTAGGGTGATACTCCATTAGGAGTGTTCCCAACTTTAATGTCATTAATGGTCATAATAACATATATATATATATATATATGGCGTTGTGGCTATATATATGGCGTTATGGCGTTATTATTATTATGTTATTATTATTATTATTATTATTATTATTATTATTATTATTATGGCGTTATGGCTATATATATATATATATATAGTTTGTGGTTTAATGTCATTTAGGTTAGGGTTAGGATTATCAATCCTTAATCATTAATGATATCAAAGTTGGGAACACTCCTAATGGAGCGTTAGCCGGAAAGTAGAAGAAGGGGACAATGTGGTGAAGGGGGAGATGGGAAGAAGAGGGTTTCCCCATCATACTCTTACTCATCATTCCCTCCTGCTCCACAGCCTCCACTCCTCTACAACATTCTTCAATTCCATCCCTCCTCCCTCTCCTTCGCACTCCTGGCTCTACCACGTACCTCATCTACCTCCTTACCTCATCTACCTCCTCCCATCTTCCCTTCTACCACATTCTCCTGGCCTGATCTCAATCTCTTCCTTATTCACCACCTTCTCCCCTGTCTTCCTCTATCCTTTACCTTCTCCCACTCTTCCTTCCCCTCTCCCTCATTCTGCAGATTATAATCGATTTAAGTTAATGAATACATTAAAATTAATATTTTATGATAGTGGCCGAGTTGTCTTGAATCATTTTAATTTGAATATTTAATTGATGTTTTACAGCACATTCAAGAAAGGCTGTCCTGCTGTCATAAAGGTCGGGGCAACACAGGATGGTCAGCGGCTTGTTGTAACACACATAGACATGGGGCACAATCATGAAGTTCATGAGGTAAGTAACTTTTAAGACACTCTGACGTGTGGCACTAATGAAAGTCACATGATGAACAGTTAATGAATGCAAAAGTTTAATGCAAAGGTCTTTTTGTAAATTGTGAAATTGTATATATATAAGAAAAAAGTATGGCTACATGGTAAAGTTTGTTTAATAGTCCAGTTGCCAAAATGTTGACCCTGCAATGTTAATTACTTTGAACTTTTTTCATGGAAATGTGTTCTATATAGTTAGGAGAGCTGATTTCTCCCCAGACACCAGAAACCTTGCTTTCCTTTGTTCTAA